TTTGTTTGACAACTTGTGAATATAAATATACAGTCCTTTTTTTTTTTTTTTTTTTTTAAATTTAACTGTATTTAGTATAACTGCTAAAAAAAAAAATTATAAATCTTATTTTGCAAATATTTTCTGTGATTTTCACAGTTTTTTTTGAGCCAGATTTTTTCCAGCACCTTTGCTGCTTTAATACATTTTTTGGGGATAAAGAAACAGAGAGATGAATTGACCACCAACCTCTTTCCTCTTGACGATCATCTTCTTCTTCAGCACTTTCACGGCGTAGTAACCTCCTTGTTTTCTGTGTTTTGCCAGCAGCACCTGCACAAATCGGACTTTTTACATTTAACGTTGGAGCACCAGTAAAACACAACAAGAATAAAGAATAAAGCATGCTCACCTTTCCAAAGCTTCCTGTGCCGATAACTTTGAGGTAGTCAAAGTCTGACGGTTTCATTCTGGTGAACATAACGAGAGCACGTCTCAAAACCACAAAGAGCTTTATAGCATTTTAATCAGATATCGGAAACGAGACAATCACACTGTCAAATTAAATAAACACAAAAAACTACACTTTAAACAGGGGATAGCCACATTGCTGCTTCATTAAACTGTTAATAACAGAACAAATTATATCAAGTACTGAAATACGGTGAATTATTTTGTGATTTTGCAATTTTTCTGTTTTGTTAAATTACAGAAAAATCACTGAAAACAGGTATTATTTTCATGTTGCCTGTAAAAAAAAAAAAAAAGGTCCAAATTGTATTATTTTATAGATATTGCTGGGTTTTTTTCACCTTTTTAAACATTTAAAATTGTTTTTTTTAACATTGCCATTGGTGCTAGATTTTTTATTTTATTTTATTTTTTTAACATTTATTTATTCATTTGAATTTTTTAAAACAGAATTTCCTAAATAGTTAAAAAATAACGTTCATGCCTGCTGATAGATCCTGATCCCTCCTGTCTCTGTGTCGAAAATCATTTCTAAATACACATAATTAATGAAATTGCTGCTGTAGTTCTTTGCACATTGACAGGATGATACAGAACTTTATTCATCCTGAAGGAAATTCTTGAGCCACAAACTGCTTAAAAACTAGATTACATGAGAATAGATATAAATGCAGCGCCTGATAGAAAAGCAATGAGATATGAGTACGATACATGACCAAAAAATTAAAACGAGTGAGCTACAATAAGACCAGAACATATGCAGGACTCTCATTTTATGGATCCTGCTGCAGGTTTTTAATAAACTCAGAGGAAAAACTTCTGAACAGCAACAAACTATAAACTTCAGCTGCTGTTTGTTCAAACCTGGACGTTTTAGTTGGTAAAGATGTGAAGTTGTAAAGCAAAGTGAATGAGAGAGTAGATTTGTGATTTCAAACTTGCTCTCTGGGATGTTTTTGGACCCATGTTGCTGCTGAAGCATGCTGTCTTGTCTTTCTGTTAATGTGACTGCATGCAGCTCCGACTCGCTCCGTGTTGTAAGTGATGCAGTAATGTGACCGTCATAATGACCAGTTAACAATAACTGAGACAACTTCTTCACAGCGAAGCCAAACCTTTCTCCTGTCAGGACACTTTTGTGACTTACTGTGAGGTCTGAGCGTTGGCTGAGCTCTGAGGAAAGAGAAGACGGTCAGGAGGTCAGATCCAGTTTCATCTCCTGTCAACACCCAGCACAAACTTTTTTTTTCTTTTTCAAAAAACCTCACCAGAGATGATTTCTCCTCCTTCTTCTCTTTCCTCAGCTTACTTTGGCGCCGCAGGACTTTCTGAGCGTCCAGGCTTCAAATGCAGAACAGGAAAGTTTATTTTATGAGATTTAAATCAAAAAAGAAAAAGAAAAAAGCTGCTAAAAGAAATCAGATTTTTTTTTTCTTTTTTGCTGAACTCACTGTTGGCAGAGCTTCTGACTGGAGACGAGTTTGTGTAAGAAGTCGCTGAAGCCAGTTTTCTTCCCCTTGAGCAGAGCTGTTGTAAGACAAGCAGGAGGTTAGTGGCTTACATAAGACACGAGCAGCTGGATTTACTCAGCTAACGACTTTACTGAAGTTATGAAACTACTGGAACTATATCTGGTGCTTGAACAAATGTCTTGATTTTCATTTTTACTGTTTCAGAGAGACCAAACCTTGATGAATTATTCTAATGTAATATTTTTACTCCCACTTTATTCCCATATTAGACACTTTTTCCCCCAAATTAAACTGATAACTTCTGTCCTTACCTGAGAGAAACGACACGAGTCCTCTCATTTTCGCGTAAGTCATCGGCTCCTCTTGAGTCCCAGTCATTTGGATGAACTGGTTTTATGGAGTAAATCCCAGTGTGAGAGGGCAGGCAGCTGTCCACAGCGCTGATCTCAGCCTCCACTGTCCTGCAGCTCACTTAAAGACAGCAGTAGTACCGGCAAGGCTGCGTTCAAGCACCCTGGGAGATGTCAGAACCGTGCATAGCATGCCGGTGCTGACTAACCCCTGCAGGCTTGATTAGTTTCTCCAAGTCAGCAGCTGATACAGTATCTGGGACAGTGGCGCTCGCTGCTGGGTTATAGATAGTATCAGTGTTCTAATAACTTTGAACCAAGTCAGGCACAGTGACGTAAGTGGATCTATAGAGAACGTTTTAGTGCAATTAAACAGGAAATGATTCACCCCAATTTATCCCAAATTTTGATTTATAGTGAATTTTTGTGTCACAAATCGGTTTCTTTTGGCTAAAAATAACAAACAAAAGTCAGTAAGACATTGTGTTGGACGTGCTAATGATGAGTTTATCTATTTTTTTTTTTTTTTTTATGTTCAGAATTATTCAAACTTTTTCTCAGAAATGAATCCAGCAGCTGTTCTCGTTGCTAACAGTCTTTCTGCATGTCTCTAGTGGGAGTTTGTTCCTCTTTGTGTCGATCTTAAAGGAGGATTCATGCAAGGATGCAAATTTTGAATTATGTTCTTATCTTCTTGTTATCAATCAATAATAACATAACTACAGCGGAGATTAGTCCCTATGCTGATATTACTTTTAGTTTATACATATGGGGGCTGCAAGGTGGCTCAGTGGTTAGCACTGTCACCTCACAGCAAGAAGGTCGCCGGTTCGCGTCCCGGTGAGGACACCAGGATCTTTCTGCGTGGAGTCTCCATGTTCTCCCCGTGCAGCGTGGGTTCTCTCCGGGTTCTCCGGCTTCCTCCCACACAGTCCAAAAACATGTTGAGGTTAATTGGTGATTCTAAATTGTCCATAGGTGTGAATGTGAGTGTGCTTGGTTGTCTGTCTCTAAGTGTAGCCCTGTGATAGACTGGTGACCTGTCCAGGTGTCCCCTGCCTTCACCCTGAGTCAGCGTCAGGGATAGATTCCACCCCTCCACGACCCTAGTGAGGATAAAGCGGTGTATAGATGATGGATGGATGGATGGATGGATGGATGCTACAGATGCCATTGACACATAAGAACACGGTTCTTGTCAATCTCAGCTTGTTTCATGAACTTGGTCTCTAGTTTGGGGGTCATTAAGCATCACTGAAGTCTTTGTCATGGTAGCCAAATTAAACCAAATTTTGCATGGGTTTAAGTTATATTTTGAGCTTACCTGTGCAGGTAGCGGTCCTACCTCGTGGTCGAGCTGATGTGTGTCACTTTCTTACAGTGAAAACAGAAGGAAAGAAGCTGAACAGCTGTTGGGTTTGTTTGCACTGGGACTTGAATGCAGCACAGTGACATGTGAAATGTGGAACTGGATGCTTCCCTCAGGGTCAGTCAGTGAATGAAGTACCTCAGATCCAACCGTCACCGTGTTTACATCTTCATTCTTATCTTTAACTGCTGTGTATGATAAGGTGTCATATAAATAAACCTTCGTGAACTCTTGTTTATCACAGATCTGGGCTCTCCATCACGTTTTCCAGTCAGGAGGAGGCCTGAATACCAGCAGCAGCAGGACATGCACTGCATAGTTGTGTCTTCGCCCAGATGTACAGTATGTAGAACGAGACATCATCTCTAACAGTTATTTAGGACACATTAACGCGCTGCTTCACGTCACGTTTGGGCGCATTTCAAACATACACCGAGAGTCGGTGCACGTACGTCTTTTCTGAGGAGGGACACGGTTCCTGTTTGAACCTAAAGATAGTTAGTGGGTCATGGAAACTTCACGACACGTGTGACTACATGACAGCACGCGTCGTCTCGTGTCGGCAGCATGTCTGAGATGTCGGCAGCCCGTCCTGCACGTCTGCAGACCCAGTTTCATGCTCATCACGTACGACTGCGGCATTTCCTGGCTGCACCTGAAGAAACTTCAGTTTTTTAAAAGCACCTTTTAACTGTAATATTTTAAACAATTTAGTATTTTTCTACAGAGTTTACCTGTTTTGTTCATTTACAGCTAAAAAGTATGAATTTCCATGTAAATTGACGCATAAAAAATAGGCCCTAATCTGTAATTTTAGAAAAAAAATTTCCATTGTAAATATTATTCACATTAAAATCTGCAATTTTACAAAAAGTAATTTGTTCTTTTCCTACATTTGAACATAAAATTTCACCTTTTTAAAACTGTATTTAAATCTGCAAAAAAAATGTAATGATACAGATATTTGTTTTAAAAAAACATATATTAAATGTTGTAAATTGTAAATGTGTTGTTTAACAGCTATTTTACAGATTTTCCCTGTTTTGTTATGTTACAGTAAATATTTAGTAAACTCGCAGAAAATAATAAAATGCGTAGAAATATTAATTTGCATGTTATCTGTAAAAAAAAAAGTCAAAATTGTAAATAATGTCAGTGTCAACAATCTGTCTTTTTATTTCACAAATAGTAATTTGTTCTTTTGTAATGTTTGACTGTAAAATTACACAATTATACCATATTTGCATCAGAAAAAGATTGATATTCACCATTATTAGAAATTCAAATTATGTATATTAAGGAATGAAAAATTACAGAAAATATCTAGTAAAAACACAGAAAAAAATATTAATGTTCACACTGTCTGGGAAAAAAGAAACCAACCAGAAAAAAATGTCCCCATCAAAAATCTGTACTTTTACAAAAAGTAATTTGTTCTTTTCCTACATTTGACCATAAAATCACACTACTTTTACTGTATTCACATCAGCATAGACATTGTTATTTTACACATATTTATTGTCAGAAAAAAACACGTATGAGGATTGAAAATTGGAGATTAAAAAAAAGTTTTTTAACTGTTATTTTAAAAATGTTGTCAAATCACAGAAAATATTAACATATGTATAAATATTAATTTGCATGTTATCCATGAAGAAACAGGCCAAAATTGTGAATAACATCACATCAACAATCTCTATTTTTGCAAATGATAATTTGTTCTTTACAAAATGTGACTGTAAAATTGTCGTGATTTACTGTTTTTAAATCCACTGAAATCTCATTGTTTTATACATAATTGCTGTTATTTGAACAAAGTATATATATATATAAGTTAGAAATATAAATTATAGTAAAATCACACAGATAAGAATTAATTTACATGTTTTCTAGAAAGAGAAACGGGACAACATTTTGCATTATTTCACTGTATTTGGCAGTAAAAAATATTGTTTTACAGATAATTGCCAATCATTTTGGTGTCACAATACTCCACATATTCTCAGCGTATTCTTTCTGGCTGCCTTCTTGATCCTTTACAGACATTTCAGACATTGTGACATTAAAAGTCCTGATTATTCTGTTGGGAGCTGAATTGCATAATTGAAATTTGACTTCAGTGTGTGGTTATATAATAATGAATGGAAATAGAAAAGAGTGTGAGTCTGGCACAGCTGGTGGTAAACACATTCTTATGTGAGAGACTATAAATTAAATTAAGAACTCAAGAAGAAATCCAAAAACTGGTGCATGTAGCTGAAGCAGCAAAAAAAAAAAAAAAAGAACAACACAAGGTACGTAATTCGGCGAAAGTCCAACAGTTTACTGGAGTTCTCTGAGAGTGGAAATGAGCAATAAACAGAGGAATGCAACATAAGAGGGTGTGAATCTAATAAATGGAACATGAAGTGCAGATACTGAAATAACTCCAAGTTCGTGGCAGCGTCTAAATGTGGAGCTGCAGGGTTCAGAGTGTCTCTGCAGAAAGCTGATCTGAGCTGGCAGGCCGGGGGAGGTTTCTTCCGGTTACAGAGGGGGAGAGAAGAAACCTCACCCAGTCACCCCCCGGTGAACCAGTCTGCCCCGGTGCTCCGGCCCACTGGAGACCAGCCAGAGCTGGTTCCGCTGGAATGCAACAGGTGACGCTGAACACGACTCCCAGGATTCCTGCAGGAGGAAACCCAGCGAGCGGATCATCGGGACGAGTCTCTGGTCGGGTTAGTCTCAGCAGGCCACGCTCATTCTCAGCAGGTTCATGTTGAAGAAGCAGGTTTTCAGAAGTTATTGTGGAAACATAGAGTTCCTCCCTCGTGGTTGCTCCTCGCTGCTGTTCATTATAAGTTCATTTGAACCTGCACTGTAAAAAAATGCATACAAATCTTTAATTTACAAGTTTTTTTTCTTTGAATGTTCAAGAATTTTTCCTTTATTTTTGAAACACACATTAAAAAAAATCATAAAATTGCAAAAATAGACAGTGAAGATAAATAGACAGTTAAATTGTCCAATGCAAATATAATGCTAAAAAAAATCCTGTAACTTTCACAGAAGAAGAAGAAAGAAGAAAGAAGAAGAAAATATGCAAATGTAAAGATGAAACCACTAAATTCAAGTTAAATACTGTTAATATACATCCTGTTATATGTATACAGCATCATTTCATTTTATATACCCGTGTAGGTATCCGTCATTTATGTTAGAAAGCCAAAATAGACGTGAATTTAGGTGTCTAATGCAAAATAACATCCGAAATCATCCAGAAACTTTTTTTAAACATAAAAACTGTTGCTAAAATATCCCTCCCTGATTGTTGATCCTTACTGTCTGTAATTTTAAATTTAAAATTTATTTTGAACCTACACTTCAAATCTGTAATTTTATGGCTTTTTTTTTCTTCTATCAGTACAATTACAAAAACTGACATTAAATTTCTGTCTAATATGTCTAGTATAAAATAACAATTAAAACTTTAAATTCTTTTAAGAAAACCTACTTTTTTTTGCCAATTTGCGAATTACTGTGACCTCAAGGAGACACGAAATGACCACGAAGCAACAGAAAATGGCTGAAAAGACACAAAATGACCACAGAGACGTAGAACATGTCTATAAAAGAAGCACAATGACCAAAAAGACACTCAAAAAGCTGAAAAATACCTTCAACAGACAGAAAAATGAGCACAAAGAGCCACGAAAAGGCTGCAAAAAGATGCCAACAAACATCCTGCTAATTAAACTGACACTGGCGTTGATTTTCAGATGCAAATTTTTATTTATTTGCTTTTTAAATCATAATGTGTCTGGTCTGAGTTTTAGCATCAGAAAGGATTTTCACGCTTTTTCAGTCTATAAAAAACATCATGAATGTATAAATCTCTAAACTGGAGTCACATCAGACGTACCTTTGCATCTGTGTGTTAAATAATCTGAAGTAAAGGCTGTTAAAACTTTATGTCCGGCTGTTACAGGTCAGACCACCAGCTGTGACTCTTGCATACTGTAGATTTTTAACAGCGTGACGCCGACGCTGCAGCAGTTCGTCATGCGTCCTGCAGATGGTGACAACAAACCAGAGGAACCTGTGAAGCAGAACGACGCTTTCTCTCATTTTTATGAGGATTTACATCATACATTAAAAGCTGAAAAAACAGCACATTGCAGCTTTTATTCCAGTCAAACCAGTTTGATATCAGAAACCAATTATAGAAGTTTGTCATCTAAAGAAAACACAGTCAACCCTTTATTTAATGTTGGTGAACTATTGATTAATCAGCAGAAATGTTGATATTTGTCATTATTTCTTAAATTTTTGCAACAAAAATGTTTCATTTGCCTGTTCAGTGGTGTTATAAATTCAGTATCTTTAGGTTTTGCATTATTTGTTGGATAAAAAGAGCAATTTAGAGGAAAAAAGTGACACGTTATCGACTAAATAACTGAACAAAGAATCAACAGAGAACTCAGTGAATAAAATCAGGATTAGCTGCATCTGTGGATGTGAAAGATTTTTATTCAGATCAGGTGTCAAATCATTTTTGCATGAAGCTGTTGGAGTGAAGCTGCATATTTTCTACCTCACATCTGTTTCATCTTAAGATGTTTAAAATTGGTCCTCTTTTAAGTTAAATGATGTCTGCGGCTAATATTTCATACAAAGATGTCGTGATGAATTTAGTTTTAGGCTTCACTCATTAGTGCCACGATCATGAACCGCACAGAGCTACAAATGATTAAATGTGAGTTTATATAAAGGTTTAAATACATACAAATACCCCCAAAGCATCACATCCCCACCACAGTTTCTGGGGGTATGAATAATTTTGACATTATAGTTTTAGTTTTAAATATGTAAAAAAAAAAAAAATCAAAATTCATCATTAACATCGTTTACGCATCATTTACTGTGTTTTTGTTTTCTATTTCCAGTCAGTAGAAAGCTAATGATCAAATAAAAATGAGCATAAATCTAAATTTGGCATGATGAGGAATAATTGTGGGCTTGTAAGTTTCCACTGGTGTTTATCTTCCCTGAAGCCGCCTCACTGCGGGAAACTCCAACGTCATTGCAACATGAACAACAACAGATGCTGTTACAAATCACATTTCAAAACACAAAGAGACACAATAGGAGCTCAAGAAAAATTAAACTGACCTTAAAGAGAAACAAAATAACCTCAAAAGACACAAAAATGGCTGCAAGAAGATGCAAAATGATCACAAAACACACGAAATGCAAAAAGAGACCCAAATGGCTACAAACAGTTATGAAAATAACCACAAAGACACACAAACTGGCTATAAACAGACACAAAGATGGACAAAATGGCTATAAAGTGACACAAAATACCACAAAACAAACAAAATAAGTATAAGAACACAAAATGACCGCAAAAATATGCACAAAATAGTTACAAAGAGACACAAAATGGCCACAAAAATACACACTATATGGCTACAAAAGACACAAAGTAGGTATACAGAGACACGATATGACCACAAAACACAGAAAATACCTACAGGACACACAGTATGGCTACAATATGATGCAAAATGACCTCAAAAATACACACAATGCCAACA